AAAGAGGATAACACATGATTTGGAAAAGGGGAATATAACCCAGAAAAGAAGTAAATTTCCAAGATAATGGATAAGGAAATTTCAGGATGAAATCACTAGGTAGCAAGCCCAGAAAATAACCAAGTCAGACCAGAGCAAAATTTTATATAGGGCTCCAGGAGTGATATTTAAAAAAAAAAAAAAACAAAACAAGGAAAGAAAAAAAAGGGGGGTGCAGGGGGGAATCACGATAAAATGAATAACCAAGTCAGACCAGAGCAAAATTTTATATAGGGCTCCAGGAGTGATATTTAAAAAAAACAAAAACAAAACAAGGAAAGAAAAAAAAGGGGGGTGCAGGGGGGAATCACGATAAAATGAAAGAAATGAAGAGATACGATAGAATAACTGATGTGTCTGAATATATTCAGAGAATTGTACTTTCTGGGTGAGTTTGGGAATGACAAGACATAAGAATGTAAATTTTTGTCTGCTTTGTGTACTTCTATATCCCTCAAAGTCTAGAATAATGCCAAGCACATGGGGGAAACTTTATAAATATGTGAATGAATAAATAAATAAATAAGTACATAGGAAATTAAATAAGGTGTTTTAATTTTATTCAAAAATTTTTCAATTGGCAAATATTTACGTATATTTATGGCATACATTACATATACCAAACATGTATATTTATGATATGTGATGTTTTGATACATGTGTGAAATGATTAAATCACGCTAGTTAACATATTCATCACCTCATATACTTATTTTTTGTGTGTGGTGAGAACATTTAATATCTACTCTCAGCAAATTTCAAGTATATATTATTATTAAATGTAGTCACTATCCTGGACAATAGATCTCCAGAACTTATTCAACCTGTCTAACTAAAACTGTACTCTGACCAACATCTCCCTATCTACTCCACAACCCCAGCCCTGGCAATTACCATTCTACTCTCTGCTTCTATGAGTTCAACTTTCTTAGATTCCAAATATAAATGAGATGCAGTATTTGTCTTTCTGTGCTAAATAAGGCATTTTTAAATTACAGAAAAAAATTATTATATAAAAATTAAATTTACTAATAGTGAAGTACCTGCTTCAGCTATTCATGAAATACATTATAAATATTTTGATACAGACATATTGAAAGGATAGAAGGAAGGAAATAACTTCTGTGTAGGTAATGTTATTAGAGAAAGGGGGAGAAAAAAAGAGGGATAAGAGGGAAAAAGGGAGGGAGGTAAATAGAGAGAGGGATAAAAAAAGGGAGAAAAGGAGAGAGCACATAGTTATCTGTGAGAGCCAAATCATCATCTCCCATAGCAGAAATTCAATACTTAATGACTACATAAGTCTCTTACGCAGAAATGCAGATATAAATACTAGAAGGAACAGATAAAAGAGAAAACATCTAAAATAGTTAAAATTGCTTATTGAAGGAGGAATATCAGCAAGATGGCAGAATAGGACTTTAAAGCACTTACTTCCCCTCATCCCCTCCACCCCCAACATCAATTTAAACAACTATCCACACATAAGAATACCTCCACAAGAGCTAAGGAAACCAGGTGAGAGATTATAGCACTTGGTTGTAGCACAGAAATAAGAAAAGACATATTGAAGAGGGTAGGAAGAACAGTTTTACACTATCTATGTCATCCCTCCCCTAACCCCAGGCAGCACGGTGGAGACAGAGAGACCCTCTTTGTTGTGGAAGGAAAGGGAAGTGAGCACCAAACTTTGCCTCAGACCCCAACACTGGGCCTGCCCCAGTAAAACCCAGTGCTGGGCAGGCCCTCACGGCCCCAGACTCCAGGCCAGTACCTATGGACTGAGCTTCCAGGTCCACTCCTGCTTCAGGTGGGATACTGTCAGCTTTGGCTCCAGACCTGGTGGGGGGGTGGGGGGGGCCAAGAGATTGAATCTCTGGGCCCACCCCACTGCCAGGCTGACCTCAGTGGCCCCAGTCTCTGGACCAGCCCCAGAAGCCCTAAGATTGGAACTCTCCCAGTGCCAGGCCAGTCCCCATATACTCAGGTTTCAGACAGCCCCAGGCTTCGCCCACCCCAGCACCAGGCTAGCCCTTGCAGCACTAGTCATTAGACTGCCACCTGGAGTCCCATGCTCCAGCAGATCCAGGGTCTAAGGCCCATCCCAGGAGATCCCAGTACCAGCTGGCCCCCATGACCCTAGTACCCAGGCCAGCCATCTCAGACCTAGCCTCCAGGTCAGGAACCACACATCCAGCCTCTAGGCCAGCCCCCACGGTCCAGGCCTGTCACCATAGCCCCAGATTCTAGGCCAGGCCAGTCCTTGTGGTTCGAGGCACTAGGTCAGCATCCAGGATCCTAGGTGGAACCTAGGACCAGCCACCATGGCTCCACACTTGCCTCAGCACCAGGTTGGCCCCAGGCTCAAGTCATACCCCAGTAGACCCTGGTGCCAAGCTGGCCTCTGTAGACTGAGGCTTCAGGACCAGCCCTGCAGACCCAGATGCCAAGCCAATAGACTCAAGCAGCTCAGCTAAGGTTGAAAAAAAAACTCAGTCATTTTCACTGTCACTTACTCCAGGGAGATAGAGCTTACAGTCTAAGTTCAGTGAAGTTAACTGCCTGCTGTAACACAAAAATATCAAAAGTGTTCAGAGTACTATAACTGAATCCCAGAATCATTTACAATGACCACAATACAATCCAAAATTACTGGATATACAAAGAAACAGGAAAACATAACCAAAGCTTAAGAGAAAATTTAATCAATGGAGAAAAACCCCAAGATGACTCATGTGTTAGACTTAACAGACAAGCATTTTAGAGGAGTTATTATGACTATACTCAAGAACATTAAAAAAAAAATATGCTTGTGATAAATAAAATAGAAAATCTTAGCGGAGAAATAGAATTTAGAACAAAGACCCAAATGGAAATCCCAGAACTGAAAAATACAGTATCTGAAACTAAAAAAAAAAAAAAAAAAAAAAAAAAAAAACCACC